TACCGGTGAGGTGCATTCTGTGGAGGAAGAGTCTAAGCACGACCTCCAAGACTACCCTGCCCGACATCATTGCAGTAGAGATAGTGTTTTCTTTTTTTCCTTTTTCTTTCACTCATGGGCAATATAAAAATCTGATTTATGGGACAGTGTCAACCCTGTGTCCCACCCCCGATAACTTCGGGAACTGGCAAAACATCGTAATTTCCCGACACTGGTGGAGGTACTAGTGGTTTAAAATTTTTATAAGAAGGTTTGAGTGACTTTTATATGGCTCATTTTAAAAATGCAACCTTTGTCATCCATACACATTCATTATGTTACAAGATAGGTACATACTACAAAGTTACTACAAACCTATTAAATTAGAAGTAGTTGGGCTTATTAGTTGTGCTAAAATTTCATATGAGGATGAATCGTAAGTAAAATTTTCAAACTTCAAAGTTTATTATCATTTAATCTGTGTCTGAAACAAAGTTGACGGTAGATGTGATGGATGATGTTTGTTCCAATTTTGAGAACAACATGTTCGAGAAAATGATAATACTTAGTTATACATAAGTATGTGGAAAAAATCATTCAATTTGAACTGTATTGAGTCAACAACTCACATGTCATACCTAACATCACATACCTTCTTACGCAATTCAACAGCCACATAAATATCGAGTGTCTTTGAAATGTCTCATGTATCTTTACAAGCATCCAATTCCTGTTTGGGTCGATTAATTGAAGTCAAGAACGCATACAACTAGGACATTTGCACTTGCGCATTAAGGACAAGGTGCAAGCACAAAAAGATACATACATAAAACCTTTCTTGTTCTTTAGTTGAAAGACAATTGTAATGAGAAGGAAAAAATGAACAAAGGTCATCGAGATAAACTCCATTGGTGTATTTACATTGCCCCGACAAACTTGAGAATCGAAATCGAGCTAATCTCAAAATTTTGGGGGTTTGGGGCGATCGAACGACAATGGATGGCGGTTCTAACCAAGAAAGGAAAAAAAGTGTGCCACTGATGGTTCGGCAAAGCTTGCCCACAATGCAACTCTGCCATGGTAAAAAAAAGGCTCGGATGTATTAGTCCTTTAAGTCATGCCAAAAGATAATCTTTGTTGTTAATCTAGCTAAACTTGACTCATAGTTTGAGGCTTTGAGCTATATACATTTGTGGTTATTTTAATGAATAAAATGCATGATGATTGGGTGAGAGAAGAATGTTGACAATAATGGTAAGAAAAATAAGATTTTATCAATAATGAAATAATTATGTTCGAAGTTTTACAACAATGATTGAGCTCGTCAACCAAGAGGGCTAACTTGGCGAAGATTGGTCATAAATTTGATGCTAAGCCACCTAATGAGCAACCATGACGTTACTACCATCCAACTGAATTGTTGGAGGTGTGTATTCTCATGGTCGATGATCTTCTACCTGCATAGGTGGAAATTGAACTGTGTGCTGCTCTTCCATATGAAAAACCAACAGTCATAGTTCCTAAGTGTTCTTGAGCCCATGACTGTTCAAAGTTTATTTTTTCATTCCCTGAGGGATTAGATGATTGGTCTATTGAATGTCTGACAAGACGAGTGGCCAACAACTCTCATACTGGAGTATTATCTTCATAAACTCGAGCGTAAAATACAATGTCTTTTTTATGAAGTTTGTTTCATATTGTCAATTGCATAGCACACGCAAAGGTTGACACACGACGACCTAAAATAAGCAAAAAAAAGTATTGTGACTAGGGTGTGACCAAGATGTGTGAAACATTGCTGAACCAAACCAACATACTGACAATGTTTGTTGGCATCAACATTCAATGGTAGAAACCGATACATAATAAACGAGAGCGTGATACTTGTTCATCATTTAAAAAAAAAATGAATCTCCTCTTTAGTATCACAAACAATTCCAATTGGCTAAAAATTACAGGAGCAATCTTGCCACACCAATCACTAAACGATAAGCTTGACCTTCTTTGATAAGTTTTTGAAATATCTCACATAACTATCAATGAGATTTAGAAAAAGTGTGTTGTGGGTAGAGTAATTGCATTGTTGTACATCGTACTTTTTGAAGAAAGGTTTTGTTGGCTTCATGATGCAGGTGCCATTGATCACCTGGCCTGCTCCGAGAACTCTCCAGCAAACAAATGAGAGAAAATGTGTCGAAGTTCACTTTGCACAACATTTATGACCCTACAAAAATTGACAATTGGTGTACAAAGAATAACATGCACCAAACGCTTCCCAAAACTGTTAAATTCATCAATAGTACCCATAGATGAAAAATCAAACCCACTATACAAGAGAAGAAGCTAAGATAAGCGTGGGTAAAAACCATGGCAGCGGCGGACAAGTGAACTGGACAAGTCCGGACACCGGAAACCGGATTTTTCGGTTTCATCCGAACATTTGGATTTCCGGTATTTTAATGCAGACATGTCCGGATGTGGCATACTGCGCATCCACATGGGCCTGCAAGGCCCGACCAAACAAGGAAAGTAAGGGCCCTACAGGCCCTGTGTTGTTTTCAGCCTGAAAGCCTGAAAACAAGGGCCTACAGGCCCTGTATAGTTTTCAACTTGAAAGCCTGAAAACAAGGGCCTACAGACCCTGTGTCATTTCAGCCTGAAAGCCTGAAAACGAGGGCCTACAGACCCTGTGTCGTTTCAGCCTAAAAGCCTGAAAACGAGGGCCATTTTCAGGCCCTCATAAAGTCGACCTGCCCTGAAACTTAGGCACCAGACCAGGGTTTTTAGCGCAGGCCATTTTTGGCCTGTTTTCAAGACAACCTTTGTTTGAACTTCAACACCAGTGTCTGTCACGTTTTGGCATTGTCAAGAGCAGCCTCCTGGACGGGCCAGCACTATATAAGACTGGCCCGCCCTGCAGGCTGCAGGCAGTCAGGGGACAGTCACGAGGTAGTTCATAGGAACTTCCCAGACACTTCACGTGCAGGAGGCAGGAGGCAGTCTTCAGGATTCGGCAGCAGCACTCTGGAGGAGCGCTGTAGTAGTAGTAGTAGTAGCGTTAGCAGTAGTCTTCAGCGCTGGGCGCTATTAGGAGCTAGAGTAGCATTGGAGAGAGAGAGATGGTTGGCAGAGGCCAGGGGGACTTACCTGTGGCGCCATAGCTCCAGCGTCGTCTTCGATGTACCTGCAACAAGGCGCCATCTTCCAGGTTAGTACCGGAGAGAGAGAGAGAGAGAGAGAGAGAGAGAGAGAGAGAGAGAGAGAGAGAGAGAGAAAGAGAGAGGGAGTTCTTCTTCTTCCTCTTCTAAGTCCACCATCTCCTCCTCACCCTCTCGCTACCTGACTTCTCAGTATATGCAGACTACACGAGAGAGAGATTGCTGACTTTGGGACTTGACGACATTTGGATCCAGACTCGACATTGGGATTCAAACATTTGACGAGGGATTATTTGGAACCTGTACCGAAGACTTGGTGTTGACGACATTCCCATCTTCCCCTCTTCTTCATCTGTGTATGGTCGGGGACTAGCGCATTTTTCCTGTGTGAGTGCCAGGCCCCTTCACACCATGGAATGATGATGATGTATGTCCGGTCTGCATTGCAACACTGATTGTTCGGATCATCCCTTACTATCTTTAAGTGAATAGCGGGTCTCGGGTAACGCTCCCGCGAGAACCCGCATCCAGTGTTGGAAAACGTCGCGGGACAGTTAGCCGCGGGCCCAACGGGGATCCTCCTAGTCGTTCGGGGCAGGCCAGTTGTCCGACCCGATAGAACTTTCGGGAATCTGTCGGTTGGATTCCCGAGAACTCTATCGGGCCGCTCATTTGCTTCGGCCCTCGGGTTGGCGGCTCGCTCATTCGGTTCGGCCCCCTCGGCGCTTCGCTCGCTGACAATCGACGTTCGCTTCGCTCGCAAGACACACACACACACACACACACACACACACACACACACACACACACACACA